CTCTATCAGAAGTGGATCAGGAGCTTACGAGGGATTTTAAACGTGCATCGCAGCATGCACTGTTAGCTCCATGAGCTGCACTCTTCATTATTCATATTCAGCTGCAGGCCTTACCAGTTGGTGACACAGAAGGTATCCTGGTATCCAAAATCTGGGCTAAATACGGCACAGGAAGCAAGACAACCATGCCTGGGAGTGATTTATCTCCTTATATCTGACTTCTTGAGGGACCAGGGCTTCTGACAATAATATCAGAGACCCACCTTCTCTTCTGCTACCAAGCACTTTGTATTCATCTACCTGGATTCGTTCTGCTCTAGATCCTCGAGGCTGCTCCCTGGGAATAGTGTATGACATGGCTCTTGTTCATTCCCTTTCGGAAGTCCTCCCATTTGGTTCCGACGCTAGTTAATATTTCATTTTGCATTTTCATAGCCAGGCACTTATAGACATTAATTATTAAATGGCCACATTTCTTGAAATGAATGTATAGATGCAGATGGCTGGGGGGGCGGTGTTCTAAAGGGGGTGTTCACTGATCGGGATCTGCTGCTGCTTCCGACTTTCAGATAAAAATCTCAAAGGCCCCTTTTTCCATTCAGTATTTTCAAAGCCTCGCTTTCTTGTTCAGTGCAGGGTGGCACCTTCAGAAGCACCCAGTGTTGATCTAACCTTGTTCTCACCGCAGTCCCTAGCAAAATAGGTCTGAGCCATTTCGAAAGCTCTCCCCTTGTCCCCCCCCCCTCCATTCCAGTATTATAGCAATATTCCCAAGCTTTTAAGTGCAGCTCCATCAGGCCAGCAGGTAAAGCTTGCTTTTTAGCCTCATTTCTATTAATTTGGAGCAAATCTCTAGCCTCAGCAGAGGTTCTCTGGAGGCACAAGGTATATGAAACAAAGTATAATTTTCTCCAGCTAAGGATTTTGTCTTTGCCCCTATCCCATCAGATGTCTTGGGCCCAGGTGATGAACACAGGAGTGGGCGGTGGGATGAGCATTGTTCAATGTAGGTTCAATGTTCAACGTGTGTGAATGTGTGTAAGAGGGTAAGAGGAGGCTGGGGGTGAAGGGGACCCATCAGTGAGATGGGAAATCTCAGCACACCAGCATCAAAAGGCAGGAGATCTGAATATTGCCCTCAAATACAAACTGTGACTGCTATGATGCCTCTTTTGGAGGGTTGGGTGCGCAGTTGAGGTTCCTTACTCTCTGCAGAGGCTGGACCATGGCTCCCTCTGTCATCAGTGGAGGGGCAGCTGCCAGTCTGACACAGCCTCATAGCACCAGCTGCAATGTATATGCCACGTACCACTAGTAAAATACTTTTGCTTTGAAGAAAGGCAGCTTCACTTCCTCTTAATAATTGATATTACTCAGATCTTTGAGACTGAGAGAAAGCAAACCAGCCTTGTGAACCTGCCTCCTCTCTAAACTAAAGCTCCTCTCCTCCCACTGTGACATTTCCCCTTGGCTCTCCATCGAACCTCAAGGGATATTGCCTTTATAACCACAGAGATCTTGTACCTTGTAGTTGGAAAGAATGTGAACCTTCTGGGGAGCGGATCAGGGCAGGTCCTGGTCGCTGAAGGAGACACCTCAGAAGCTTTCCTGGAATACCGAGTTCACCACGAGCAGTCAACCTCCCTTCATTAGTTCGCAACAAGATTGAGCAGGGTGGATTTGTGCTCATGGGTGGAGCTGGAAGAAAGTAATAAGCTCTTCTTAATGAAGAGCTCGCTTTGGTTTGCTGTGTCTGGCAGACTGTTTTCATCTTTTGTACTTCTGGTAGCTGGCATCCCAGGCAAGGCTGAAGGACTTCAGTTTGGGAGTGGTAGGCATGCACTCCATTTGCTGCCTACCACTGGCAGAGGATCAAGGCTTGGAATTTTCATTACACTTGCTTCGCCTGCCAGAAAGAAGCACTTTGATTTAATTCTGGTGGCTTCTTGTTCAATGCCAAGCTTGGAACGTGATGCTCTGATGTCTTCCAGCTTCTTAGAGTAACCACAACGTCCCGCCGAGGAAATATATATTTATACAACAGAGGAATTGCATTTAAGTATGGAGTCACTTTATTAACAACAATCGCACACCATGCTATAGGTGGATCTTATGGTTTGGAATATAAGACTGGCTCCTTTCGTAATCCTATGTACCAAGCCCAGATATGATCAGAAATTCATGATTCTTCAGTAACTATTCTTGGAAGGCTCATCTTGTTAAAAAGCAGTCACCATGTCGCTATCCCTGGAAGAGGATAAGGGATGCTAACAGAGCTGATCAAATACTTTCTGGCATAAATGTCCTTTAAGAAGGAAGATTGTGCTTTTGACAAGATGACATTTTCCTACAGAAAGCATCTGCTCGCCTCAGAATGTTGTTTTCTTGCCAAAAGAATACCTCAAAACCCAATTGTATTATTTTTTTGGACAAAAATCCAAAAGCTTGGGGGGTTTGGCAGCAGATTTTAAGGATTCAACTGAAAAAAAAACCCAAAAGTTTTTGTTTTTCCAAAATCCAAGAGGCCCAAACATTATTTTTTATTTTTTTTTAGTTTTGTTTTAAAATTAAGGAAAAATGTGGCCATATTTTCCATGTGCTGGAGGGGACCCTCTTTCAAACCAGCCCTAGATGCTCACAAGAAAATGAGTGTTAGTGGGTACTTAACTACAGCAAAGCTCTGCATAAATCATGTGCAAGGGCAGAAGCTGTTGCCAGGAGTGCAGCCAAAATCCAAACCTTTTGCAGATTCATTGGATTTTGTTTTGGGTTAAAGCTTTTCCATTTCTCATACCAATGCTCAAGCAGTCGCATTGTCTCCCATTCCTCTCAATGTCATCAGAAGAGAATGGCACTGGTCCTCTTTAGTATGAATGTCTTCATACTAAAAGTGTTCTGTGGGGCATGATGGGCTGAAGGGAGCATTGAAGAGGGGACCCCAGGACCCTGGCAATGAAAAGGAGAGAAGGAAGATGTGGAAAAGGGCCTCACATTTAAAATGAGACTGAGGGATTAGGACTTCTGTCTGAACGTTTTCTGCCCTGGGATATGGGAGGACATGTGGGAACCCGCACAGGATGTGCAATTACTAGAAGCTAACCTGCAAGCTTCTTTCTTGCAGCTCTGAGACAATCTGAGCTGATCAAATATGGGAGGAACAGATGAAATAGGAGGCAGAAAGAATGCTGAAAATGTTTGTGGCCGTGAGATGTGCGAGCCCTATCAAGAATGAAACATCTGGTACGTGCACTGCCTTTCCCATTCGTTTTGTATGGAGTGTTATATTATACCACAGTATTAATGTATTAATATATTAATAGAATGTCAACATTTATATATAATACAATTAGTGGTTTAATATAAAAGTCAAAATGAAATGAATCAACATGACATTTGAAACAAAATCCTTTTACACTGTTGAAATGAAATAGCCTTATGGGAGAGGTTTTACCCACCCTGCTCCCCCTTCCACTCCTGCTTGGTTGCCAGCTGTTTCATTCCAGATGTGGCGGTCAGACTTCTTTTGATTCAATGGCCACATTTGATAAGAAGGTTGGCTTAGCACTGACCACTGAATGTGGTCACGTCCTTAGGGAAGCATGCGTAGCTCTTGCTTGATCTCAGCTTATTAAGCAAATAGATCAGAGATGTCTTGTTTCCTCTGTTGCCATATGGCTAGCCCATACCTTAGATGGGAGACAGGTAGCGCCCGGATTTCCTCTTGCTAATTGCTGATCCAGAAAGATCAAACACAATTTTACGCATTATTCCTTTTCTTTCCTGACCCCATGCCCCTAATTTCTTCCCAAAACTTCCATTTGTATTTTTGTGGTTAAAACGTTTCCTGTCTCTTCCATTCACCATGAAATCCCATCTAGAAATCCACTCTGAGCTTACAAGCCCATCCTAGAGTGTCTGTTCCCATCCCATGGTATGGGCTTGTACTCTGCTGTTTCAGCAGCGATGAAATCACATGCCCGGGGCAACCCTTTAGCTCTGCTCTGGCCTTCCTTCCTTTTACTTTCTTCACTACTTGGACCATGACTTGAAGGTTGTATTAATTTGTTCTGGTTAATAGAAAATCTCATGCAGTCCAGACATGATTTTGTTTTCCAAATGCTTCTTCTTGGGAAATGCAAACCAGGAAAAGATAAAGACTTTCCCCTCTCTAAGAGGCCAATATGGGATATGTTACAGCCTAGAATTGCTGGGTGGGAGGCTAGGGAACACAGGCAAAGAATTAAAGACCACTCTTTCACAGCAAAATGATAATATAGAGCTATAGTTCTAGACACACTTTTATGCATATGTGTATTTATCAGGAGCCCAGCTCACTTTTCATTTGCACTTTGTTTCCCCACAAGATCCCAAGGGAATGAATCCAAGGGTACCATGGTGTACAGGAGGAACTCCAGACTTTTATTTATTATTATTTACTATTATTTATTATTATATTTATTAAACATCTATTAAGGCTGCCCATCCTGTAATTTCAACAGTTTTTCATATTCCTACACACACACCACCACTTATTTAGGGATCTGGGAAGTGCAGCCCTGTTTGGGATGTACCACAAAAGACATGGGGTTATCACATTTCTGCACAACAGAAAATAGCCCCCATTGACCCTACACAAGTAGCAGCTAAGAGTGCACTTGAAAACAAGAGCATTGCTCTTAACGCTGTCTGCTCTGCTGTTGACATCATTTTCACCAAACCCCAATTCAGTAGAACCCACCCTTGAAGCATCCATCGCATCATGTCCAGCACTTGGTGAAAGATGTACAGAGACTTGTCTATGGAGCGTGAGGTTCATGCGCATGGCTCTTGGGGCTTCATGAGTATGGCCATTCCTTGCCCTGGGAGCTCTGCAGCCAGTCTGGGGAGCCCCAAGTTTTGGGTGCCTGACGCTTGGGATTTGAATCCACTATGTCCAGTATTCCAGTGCATGCAGGAAGCATTTCATTTAAACCTTATTTCTGGTGACAACCTCCAGGCAGATTTTCCTGGATGTGTCCTCTTCTGTTTGGGAGCACCAGAGCTTCAGTGTGCTGTCGTTAAGGCTGATAGCTTCTGTGCACAGCAGCCATATCCCATGAGCACACACACACACTACTCGCCATACACAGAGGTGGAGCAGTGATGGCGATGCCTCTTGGGGGAGTTAGACTCATCGCCTGCAAGCTATACAGTGCAAGCACAGACATTTCCAGCTGGGAAATCCCAGACATAAGTATGATGAAAGTGCTTGTGAGCACTCCTGCTCTGCTCTGCACCAGGAGCACAATCCCTTTGGCATGGGCATGGTTTTCACTGAACTGTCTTATTTATTTGTATTAGGAGCACAATTTCTTCTAGGTCAAAGCTATTTGAGTGAGGTCTCAAATTCGTACCGTTCAGCCCCCCCAGCTGACTGTAATTACATTTGCATATATTATATACGGATATAGAGGGATTTAATCAAAATGTAGCTGCCAAATGGAGACCCAGTGAGTGTATGTTCATCAGAAAATCATTCTTAAAGCCCTTCCAGGTTGGCAAACTTTGCTTCAGAATTAAAAGTGAGATTTTTCATTATCCCATTGAATATTTTCAGTTATTTCAGATGCAAGAGCCAAAAAGAATAAATCAGTGCCAGCTTGCAGAAATATGAGTTGGTAGAAGGGTTGTTATTATTTATTGCATTGCAGGGAAGGATCTTGGGGGGGGGTTTATCTTGATGGGTGAGTTTCAGGAACATGAGCTCTGTAACAGAAGGGTGGAGGGAAAGGCATTCACATTCAAGGCACTGCTCCACTTTCCCCACATCAGATTTGATTTCTATAGAAGGACAAATGGAGGAAAAACTGAAGAGCTTTCTGCAATTGGAGCTGCAGAGAGTTGTGGTTCAGATTCACCTCTTGGGGACTTGTCCCAGTCCCTCAGCTCTCTGCTCAACCCCAGACCATGGCGAATAGGTGTTGGCTCTCAGATAATACATGGGGCCACAGTGTAACTGACTGCAGACACCTTGGCATATTGCAGAGAGACAGATACGGTGTTTTACTTGTGTCTTGCTTTTGGTTCAGGTAGGTTGTATCTGTAACACCTAGAAGAGTGTCTTACCATACATCCTCGCCATAGCTAGGGAACATCTAGAGCAGAGGAGAAAAGATGGGAAGTGAATCCCTTGGTGAGACTAAATCAAGACAAATCACATTTATGGTTTCACTTAAACGCTTGTTTGCCAAATCTTTCTCACCAGGGCTGGATGCAAAGAGAAAGATGCAAAAGAAATGCAGTAAAATTAATAGAATTCTCCATAGGAAAGGGAGGCAAATGGATGAGTCTTGTATGGACTCTGGTATAGGTATATCTATTTATTAGAGCTAATGGTGCAGTACTGTGGTGTCAATGGTGGAATGGCAGGTGGACATGTGGGCTGGTGTATGTGCCTATCTGAGCATGCTAACAGCAGATACTTCACCCATAAACAGGATATGTGAATTCAGCTGTGGTAATCTTTCAGCAGTAACAAATACAATTTTATAAACAAGATAGGGATGCAAGATTCTCTTAGGGGAGGTTGTTGATTCCTTTCATGAAAGATAATGAAAGCCACAAGCACAGAAACCGTACGATAAGCAAAGAAATGCGCTGAGTTGGCTCCAAAGTAGGTTCAGATTAGAGCTATCTGGGTACAATAGATCTCACAAGAAACCTAAAATGTCTGAGAAGCAAATATTTCTCCCCAGCAGTGGTAAATCTTGTAGCACTAGATATTATGTGTACATGAGTATCATTACAAGTAGCACAGAAAATCCCTCTTTGTGGTACCTTTCGGTGGTACCTTTTGTAAAGTGAGATGCAGGAGGAGGCATGCAGGAATAATAGATACTTGCCCTCGATTAAACTAAGAAGTTAGATGAGCTAAAAGGCACGAAACTCCTAATTCTGCAGTGCTGGAGGCTCTGTGGGGGTTGCTTCACTTTGCTTCTCCCACTGTTTTTCATCCCTTTGCACTTCTTCAAGGGCCCTGCCTGGCCAAGCTGAGACAATCTTGCTTTCCTGATCTTAACAGTTAATCTTTAATTAAGCCATGGACTGTTTTGGTCATTAATGTAATGTAGCAGGCAGGGAGTTAAGCCTCATAAAAACTCCATCCCAGCTCTGACAGATCACGCTGAACCTCAGGGGAGCATCTATGGAAATGGGTGCTCCCATGGGAACATGATTCCCCCGGAGGCTGACCAACCGCCGGGCTGTGGGTTCCCACATCCCTCCTTAGGGAAGGTTTTCCTAGAGCAACTAGTCTGGTCAATTTGTGATTATTCAAGTTTGTTGGGGCCTGGCCAAAGCCTTATTGAATAAGAACCGCCTCAGAGGATTGTGGGGCAGACCCAAAGCTGAATGCAATTACCAGCTTATTTCTAAATGAATATTTTGTTAGGGGTTGGGGATAGGATTTGCTTTCACCCACTTTCCTTCACTGCACACACCACTGGTCTGGGCTTTTTTCAGCCTTGGAGCGTGCTTCAGGTTTTACTGCGTGTGTCTGAGATTGGTAAAACCTGTGAAAGTTGGGATTGTTTAAAATCAGAGCAAAGAGGAAAAAAAAAGGGGGGGAGGAGAAATAGCTGGGAATGGGTGAACGTCATCTAAATAGCAGTAAAACTGTTAAATCTATTTGCATTTCACACCCAATAATTTTAGACTCCACCTCGAGAGCACTGCTTGAAAGTCAGCACTTTTAATTGTCCAGTAAATTTCCTTTCAGACAGCTGCTTCATAAACTGCCATTGCCTGCACAGTGAGAAAAAACAGATAACTGATTTATCTGAGGATGGAGACCACAACGGCCATTCGTGTGTCACTGCTTCCCCCCTCTGTTTCACTTAAATCAGCGCGTGAGGGCATTTGGTTATAGCTCTGCAATCTGTCCTCAGACACTCAGCACCACCAACCTGCTCAGCTGAGATGGCTCCTGACCACCACGACATGGAATGGTCCCTGGAAGGTCCATAGCCCACCCTGCCCTCTGTGTCCTGCTGCACCGGTAAATCACTGTCTGCTGGGCTAGGAATTAGGCAGGCTTATACCTAATATACCATAAAGTAATGGCTTATCGCTCAATTCTGAGTTATGTCCCATCTATTTAGCTTGACATTGGTTTCTTGGAGGTCTAAGAACATGACCAACAACATGGTAGTTGTTTTGGGGGGGTTTTAGTGCCCTTTCTTATTTAAAGAAAAAAAAATCTGGGCTTTTTTTTATATATTTTTTTTCAGATTTTTGGAGCAGTTTTGGGACTTTTCAGTGTCCTCAAAAATGGGCACAGAAAGCAGCAGTCTGGTTCGATTTGCACAACAGTTTCAAGGAAAGTTGACTCTGGCCACTGCTGCTTCTTATGTCCCATTTCAGACTCTTGTGGACTTGTATCTCTTGATTTGCAAACAGTTCATTTCTTCATCCCTCTTGCTTTCTCATTGTCTTGTCTGACTCTGCCATTGCCACCTTTCCTGTCCCTGTTGAAGCAGATCACCTCAGCTTGTCCCAGGTTCTCCACTGTTACCTAGTGATAAACATTAAGAGCTTGTTTGGTAGCAAGGTAAAAATGAGATCAGATCAGCAGAAGGAAATGTTGACCAGATGTGGAAATAACTTTTTAGCTATTCCAGTGGCAGATGTTTCATCTGAAATCTCCATGACTTCCATGAAGAATTCAGGGAGCTCTTTATCTCCAGAATTCGGGGTTGTGTTTTGGCTTTTGTTTCAATCCCTCAAACTTTAAAGAGGAAAGAACAAATGGAAGAAGTAGCTTTACAGCCGATTTGGATAAGCTTCCCTGGTGCCAACCCTTCATTCACCAAAACTGAGAGGAAAGTAGGCAATCTTTAGCACCAAGGGCCGAGGGCACCTTTTGGTGCTCCCATCCAGCTTCTCCATTTTCATCTCTCCTCACCCAGCAACCAACCCCAATCACAGCTACCAGTTTTATTCCAAGTTGTTGTATCTTTGAGTGTAGACAAAGGGTAAATCCTGCTCCCAGGGATTCCTGGCAAGACAGAAACAATTGCACACCAGGGTCTGGGACAAGAGGCATAGTGGTGAGTCAAGGTCAATGTAAGTGGCCTCAAGCATCTTCTCAAAGTGAGATGAAGCAATAAGAAGCATCAGGACTGGGAAGCCAAAAGCTGGGAGGGAGATCCTGCAAGGCAGCGTGTTGAAGGGGAAATGGCTGTAGAAAGTGAGGAGAGAGGGAGAGGCTCTATCACCAGGTAAGAAAGACCACAATGTAAGGATCCTTCTCCTACCATGGATGTGCTTAGGTTCTCTTTTTTGCCTCTTCTTCATCCACTGCAATATGGGCACTCATATTCTTGAAACAAACATCTTGTGTGTTCTCTGGGCATCTTTCCCTGCTGCTGGAGATTAGAGCTTGCTCCCATATAAGCACACACATACCTGCACGCCTCTGAAAGAGGCCGCTGGGGCTCTGAGCAGCTCTGTTGGTAGTTCCCTTACAATCTGTGCATCTGACCTGCCTTTGCCCTGCAGTCACAGCTGCAGCAGCAAAATGTGCTCTGTGTGTGTATGCATGGTGGTAAAGCTGGCAAGCAATTATTTGCCTTTTTTTTAATCCGCTGCTTAATAATTACTGCTTCTTTATTCATTTTAAAAGGTCCTATGTGATCACAAATTGATTTATTTACCAGCTACTGTTTAGATAGGTACACTAAAGTAACCACCAGCCTCATCTATTGATGCATGTGCTTTATCATGCATTCAATAGTCTTATTTCTCCATAATGAATGAGTCCTCCAGTGGGAAATAAAGTGAAATGCCAGTTTAGGGATCAATCAGTGCTCATATACAGCCTTTATAATGGGAAGTTTATGGGCTGTAGTGAAGGTATTTTTCTACAATAGCTTGGCTGCACCTTGGTACTGCAGGTTTTGGCTTTGCTAAGGTACAGGTCCAGAAGAAATGGATTACTAGAAAAAAATCAGAACTGAAAGAAAATGTAATAAATATGTGTACGGCCCTACATGATAAAGATGCAGCTTCTCATTGTGCTGCGTTAGTGAGGTGTGTGGCTTTATTTCCACAGTGCTCTGTAGGTCTGATCCAAAGCTTGTTTGAATTGATGAGGTTTCCTTTTGTCTTGATTGACTTTGCATTAGGGGTCTGGTAGGAGCAGAGCTACAGGAGCTGAGTATCAATGGGGCAGAGAGAGCTTCAGTTTGAGTTTGGGTGCCTTTGCCTTCCTTGGGGCAGAGACTTGTCCTTGGAGAAGAGTTCATCCCAAGTAACTAACTCTGGGCTTCCTCCAGAGTCAACAGAGAGGTGAGCGAAGGGAGCAGGGAATTCATCTCTCCTGATTGTCCTAAATCCCCTTCCAACACCTTGGGGGATGCTGACAGCCCTCACTCAGGACCACCCTTTCCACTGATGAGGGGCACAGATATTATTGCAAGTGTCAGCTGCGAATGGGATCTTAATATAAG